TTCCGCGAAACGTAGAAATGTCGAGGAAGTTACTAACTGTCGTGGAATATGAAAACTTCTTGAAATCGAGGAAATAGTAAGCAATTCACAAACATAGCTACTCTGAATTGGTTTTGTTGCAAGCAATATATTTTTATACGAAAGAAATGCCAAATTAACTGACTGGCGATTGGAACATTCATCTGGATTTTAATAAGCACCATCTGTTGAAGCAATGCCGGATCGAAGGCGCTACGTCTGAAACTTCGCCAGCTCAACGGGAACCACAAACACATACTGGAAGAGATTTTTCATGATGTCTTTCTCAGCGTCATACGAAACGAAATTACTGATGGTCGCGGGAATATGGAACTGCACACCCTGTTATGTTCACCATTGAAATCCAACAAGAACAGTCCGCGTCCATACATCATCGTCACGGTCAACTTGGAGAGAGCCAATTCTGCCACAGCAGGAAGAGCCACACTGCGGTGGTTGACAATTAGTTGTATCGACTTCAAGCGAGTGAGAGCTTTCGTGTCTGATGACGCAAGATATATGGCCCATACTACTGTGATGCTATTAAGCTTGTTTTTGAAGGTGCAGTTCACATTCGATGCTTTGCCCATTGTCTCCGTTTTGATTGAAGAGAAACTTCGCAAATCCTGTACAGAAGTCGAGGGATAGTTCGCAAAAATGAAGGACGCTTTCCGTCTTAAAGAAAGGTAGAGCCGTGTCTACATGTAGGATCTAATTTAGGAGGGTGTGGATAACCCGACTGTCCCCTGCACCAGTAATCACCCATAAGAAATCCTGATTAGAAGCTATCGAACAGCACAACAAGTATTTGCAACATTAACAAGCCACGTTGCAAGAAATACCACATTATTTTGGAGACTCAGCTTGTGTTGATGAACTTGTGAATTTTTCTAATCAACGAAACAACACAGAAAGCGTTGAAGTAGTAAATATGTTGCAAAAAGCTCGTTGTTGAGGATATCCTTCTTCGCGTAAAATCTCCCAAATCACAGTCGCTGTCAACCCATAACATTACAACCTCTCCGATATATCCGTATAGCTGAAAGCTGCCGCTGAAAAAACTGGCAGCAACATATGCAACGGACTCCTATTTGACAACAACTCTGCTTCTCCCAAACTGCCATAAAAGCCCAAAAGTTGCTCTCATCACAGGCTACCTGGTCGTTTTCAAAAAACATTCGAGTGCTCGACCCAAACCAGCTCATCACCTTGCCCAGTGAGCCATGCAACTAGGCCGATGTTCCAGCTTTGGTTGGCTCTCCAGATCTGGCAGCCGAATGGTTACTTTATTAAAAAAGAGGGAAGAACACCAAGGAGAAACATATGAAGACACACTGCGCTTCTGTTGCGAGATACCTGACAGAACTCCAAAACGCGCATACATTGCTGACCCTTCTCTATGCATTACAGTGAATTCGGTAAATGCTGAACGGAGCTTCAGTGGCTACAAAATATCGTATCTGACCAGCGTCAAAACATTTCGGACAGGATGACCAAGTACCATGTTGGGCTTTATTGTAATTCATCTGTTTTGAATTACAACTACCTTGTATATAGTGGATGTGGGGGCCTTAAGTTCTTTTTATTCAAGTCCTCGCCGTGAAATCACGGAATGTTAGGTTAGTGCCGCGGAAGTTACGCGGAATTTACAATTTTGCTCGCGGTATCGTGGGATCATTACTCATAGGCCAGATAATGCAAAGACTCGCAATTCCTTGATTGAAATGCACAAACTCATGAAGTTTACGACCAGATTTTCAGTTAGCCTCCGGTAAATTACGAGGGCTCCAATTTCCTTAAGTCTGTGTTGGACTTTTAAGCAAATAGTGACTAACGGGGCATGTTCCTAAATGGAATTTGTAAGCCACAATATCTAAGCAGTGCATTTTGGCATTCTGCCTATTCGAGCAGGTCGAGACAATGTAGGATGGACCTAACAACTCAGCTTCCTTCCATTGAGTGACATTTTTGATGACCCCACGAATCTCCGTAAACTTTGGTGCTCTTATGACTCAGTTCACCTAACTGATTTCAACATGTCGTTTCGGAATAAGATTTTTAGTAGATAACGTTTCCAAACACAAGCATCCCCGTTGAATTTATAAAGAAAGCTTGATGCATAGAGCAGGTTAGCCAGGGATGAACAGATAACAAAATGGAATGCTGCCTAATCGTCAAATTTTATGGTGCTATTTCGTATAATTTCATACATTTATCCACTGCCGAGGCTCCTGAACGGCTAACTATTTCAAGAAATGAGATGCCAATGATTAGTTGCTGCTTTTCTACTTCAACTGCAGTTTGCCTAATGTGGTTTATGTTCCAACAACCGAGTTAGTTATTAACAAAGTCGCACTGAGAAAATGGATACTGGTCGGTCAATTTTTCAATGTGATAATCATTAAGCGGTCTATGCGACTATCATCAAATTTTGCTGAGAGTGGCCAGAACAGATTGTGTATACCGCCAATCATTCCGTCCGGATCCACCTTCCAATATGCTTTTGGCTGAAACTACACAGAAAATGTCGTCACATTGCACTTAATCAGGCTGCGCAGAGGCACCTTCGCCGCACTATATCTTTGAGATGTACGAAAACATTCCTCTTTTCTAGGGGCATATATATAGTTATATAACATTGTATGCACATGTTTATCTGTTTAAGCCAACTTCGATGTGCAATGAATCGAGGGATATCTTACGTATGTTGCATCTCGCGAAGCCTATCGAATCTCAGCCTAATTATGTCTGATCCAATCATATACTAACATGGATTACTCTTCAGTAGCTCCTATGCAATACAAGTGCGTAGCTTTTTCGGTACAAATAAAACGGCAATAAAACCACGGCCATCTGCTGGTCACGGTCTCGACTGGCGCTTAGCTAGACTGTCCAGGAATAACATGTGAAGCGGCTTGCTCATAACATGCTTCGCCTCTGTTCAATAGCTAGGTAACATTTGCACAAATGTCCATAAATGTAGATCCAGTGATCTATGCTTCACAAACCAGAACAATCAATGTCCCTTTTATCCATTCCGAACTCGGTGATCACATTATTTCCCGTGGTTCAAAATTAATTATCTCATCATTCACATTGGCACAGATCAGCCATTAGTTTACAATAGGTATGAGGGATGCGTCATGCATTACAAGGAATGCCAAGCAAGTCCACGATTACATGATCAGTTTCTGAAGAAACAATATTTGATGTCATAATTTCTGGTGACTAAGCATCATTCTCAATAGGACTTTGGAGCTTTCCGGTTTCACATGACGTACCCAGGTAATTTGTTGCTCCAGCTGCTCGATGGCAACTAAGTTTACGAAAAGGACTCCTCCCTGAACAATACGTTTGTCATTAAACTCCACATGATGTCAGGGCAGAAAATAAGAGATAATGGCGCAACGAGTGTATAGGACCTGTGAAGACAATCAGCCGCAGCAATCGAGCAGCATTAACTGGTTTTCGAAAAATATGCATCTGGCTGAAGAACCGTCAAATAAAAGGACTATAGGATCATATGTACATGCAATCACTTCATTTAACATATTGGGATATTCCCAACATAAAGAAGAAGCAAAACAAGTGCGGAAAATTGGAAGACAACCGGACTTATTAATTAATAAGAACCAATGTCATTTTTATAGATACCAATCATTCTAATATCAATGCCTACAGTGCATGGTATTTATGTACGCAAATTAGTATAACTTGTTGAGATGATTCTCCGTTCGTTTGAATTTTCGCTAAACGGTTAGAAGATATGTTTAGCTTTGCCTTGTATCTGGGATCCTGAAGTTCACGACTGCAGTTCAACGGCATTTGGTTGTCGAACAGCTCGGTCCACTTTCGCGCCATCCACGAATTTTAGTCATACTTGCTTTTGTCTGCATTGACAGTGGTTCAAATATTTGCATACTAGCTAGCCTAGCTTATCCGAGTCAACATAATTGAACCTTACCACATGTACCTTTGGCATCCTAACCAGGCTGTCTATCACTCAAATTTGTGACTCCCACTCACTGGTGAATGACGGGCCTTTGGTGGTCTCAAGGCATACCATTACTCGCTACGCCCATACAGTGTAGCTCCCGTGTGTGGTGCACCGTGCCACCACTCGGTTTTGAGAACTTGGCCTACCTTTACCGCAATCTGATCCATTCCATTCACATATCTTATAATTAAGTAGTTCATTCATGTTTTCGTCATTTTGTCCTACTGTGTCACTCGGATCAATGTGAGCGGTTCTACTTGGTGGAATTAAATAATTTATGATTACGTAAACGCTTTGACGGATTAAGAAGCAAAATAGGCTACATTAAAAATTTATATGAAATATCTATTTACAAAGTACATCGTTTGAGTTTCATTACCTCAGTTGATTTAGCTAATGATCGCTGATTGATGGCCTTTAAACTCAATCCTGAACGTGCACTTTTGAGTTGCGCTATTAAATCTGTTTCAATCAAGACCAAATTTTTAACACCATGCATCCTCTGTTAACCGACTGCTTACAAGAATATGGGAAATGTACATGAACATCAACATTGGTATTATGACGTACTCTCTCTGAAGTTTCCATAATGAATAGCTGCAATTCCTCGAGAATGTGGAACTGGCTGCAGCAACCTCCCGTTTTCCTCTGTTACACCGTGCGCTCTGCAGACACACAGTAAGTCATTGCTGTTGGGATCGTAATGCCAACGGTACACCGCGTCGGCTGTGGAAACAGGAAGTCCTAAAATTTGGCGCTACATAACACAAGGAGATGGAGCTTTAGAATGATATGACAAGATTTAAAAATGCGGTTACTTTGAGCAAAACGATATCAGATTATGAATGAAGTGTTCATTGCATAAATAGGAAATCATCTCTGTATTTCTATCATAACTAGCTCATGCGAAATGATTGTACATTTTTTCCTCATGTCAATGAAGTCAAATTAATCCAATGCAGATTCAGTTGCAAACGATACATACCTGTCTGTTGCAGTGCATCTTAATGCTAGAACCAAGCGTTCCGTTCATGTAATCCAAATTTGGTTCCTCATCCCGCGTAATGGAGACCGACAAATAAACTGCAAATCAGTAGGCGAAGGGCATTAGTAGTTGCGTAATAAGAATTTGTCTGTATGCATTTTACACAAACGGCGGTTAGGTTTGCATATCAGCAGTTATGAGTAATGGCTCCCAACGCCAGAACAATATTTCTAATGTGGAACGAATCTCAGGGACCAAATTTAAGCGCAACAATTGAAAGAAGATACCTGTTTACCGAAGCACTGCGTAATCTTAACTTTATAAGAACATAACAAAAAACAAAACCGAGAAATTGTTAAATGGATTTCAATTAATCTGCCTTTATTAACTCTATCATCTGCAAAGTTATAAACTAATGAGAACTCTTGTTTTAAATGACGGGAACACATACGGTTTCTGCTACATAAATCCCACGTCTTTGTATTTATCTTATTTGTCCATATAAGCGAGAAACACCTCAATGTCTGTTTTTGCTGGTCCCGAAATAATGTAAAGTATTTGAACTAATTGCCATACACACGCTAAATGTGTCATGCTTTGACATATATTGCGCATATGTTTATGGATACACTTAAACATGATTAGTATAGTTTAAACTTTAAGGCTTATATTTGTGGCAAGTTTCAGACTTACAGCTCTGAGCTCCGAGTAGATAAAGCACAAAACACAGAATCTCTTGCGAATACATCGCTAGACAAGTCTGGGCGTCTACATGTGCTGCATCAATTTATATGTGTCGACCGTTGGACCAGCAAGACATGTGACATGGTAGCATATTCTATGGCCAATATTCTATGGGCCAATCATGAAGCAGTCCAATCAGCTCTGCCCACAACGCCTATCACCTTCTAGTTGGCCAATACACTTCATAGCGATTTGAGACCGTCAACGTTACATTCAGTTCATGTAGTCATTTTACGTTGTCTGTAAGTTAACACTAACCTGTCGGTTATTCTCTCTTCCGACTGGTAATAGATAAGTAATTTAAACGTAGTTTACAGCTCTTTTGCTATTAGTCGTTTACACTGTACATCACTGTCAGATCTTCTGAGGTTGCACTTAAGTCCTCATGGATGACTCAATTTAGCTTTCCTTTTAGAACAATCAATTCAGAGTACACTGCAAGATCAAAAGGCAGACGCTTAGGAGAATAAACAGAAGTTTGAAATTCTATAGACCGTTGATACAGGCCCAAAACTTAACAGCTTCAGAAAGCAAAACATTCTTCAGACTGGCAATGGTAATGTTAGAATTTCGACGTGAGGGCATTATTGGTCAATTTGCTTGATATCTTCCGTGTGGTTTGCCCCAGTAGCTTCTCCTTACAACAACCACTAAACACAATGAGTGGAGCTGAATCTACCCTTGATGTTTCTGTAGTGGGAAATAGCTACGTTTGTCATCGCGGTCAACGTTTTGAATTTTCACTTAATGTGTATAATCTCTCACGGTTTGTTAACCCCGAACAGACATATGCAAACTAACCACGGACTAAGCTCAAAATTGAAAAGCGGGACATTCAGGTTTTGCAGACAAACTGCCCGACTGCACTGCCGTTTCTTCTGTTAACAAACCGTTCATTGTTTCAATAACGAACAACCCCTTGTGCAATACAATTAATACACCGAGGTGCGAAAGCTGTGATTATACGGGGAAACACATCTTACACGCGGCAGTATCAATGTTGCAGCGATTAATGTTGAGCATCAAGTGCTATATAACTTTGAAAATGACCGATCTGTTAGGTGTAAATCGCCATGTACCCTGCAGTCACGGGGATAAGAGTTAAGTGTCGCTGAATACATGCTGAATATAGTGAATGCCACTCTCACATAGAAGAAAACAATTGTTGACAGGTTTCGCGCTTCAGCCCACAAAGCTGTTGTAAACAAACACAAACGCAGCATCCTGGGACGAGGATAGGTATGACTGTCCAATATGCCAAGTGGTTGGCTTGGTTAAGTTTACAGTTAACCTGAATGAAATGGGTTTTACATAAATACGCCATTCCACAATGATCTCTGCAATCGCAATATATAACCATGATTATCAATGCACGAAAGTATGGTCGAAAATCAGATGTATAATATGGTTGGACTCAGCGAACAATATTTATATTGCTGTAAGAAGACGCGAATGCATGTTTGCATAGTAACCTATGAGTCGGACTGATGGCAAGACAGATACATGGGAAGGTAAACGAAGCACGCTCAAAGTTGAACAGAAATAAAGTGTATACAATCTAGAGCTAATAACAGCACACAAACTGTGTATGAAAAATCCATCAAGGCTTTTATGGGCTGCTCTCAGAGGACTTCACAAAAAAGAGTTCAGCATTGAGAACTTTGCGAGAATAAACGTCCACACAACGAGATAATTTGTCCTGATTTGAATTTTCCGTTTCGAAAGAAATCGGGGTCTGATGTGCCATTTGTATTTAATTATTTAACTTCTCCTTGGATAGTGTGGTCACGAATAAACTTTATGATGATTTTGTCAAATTTCAAACATTTTGTCAAGTCCATATTTAAGTAGACGAAACCTTGGCCTTGGAATCTGTACACGGTATGCTAGAGGAGAATACCTTGTGCAGCCGCACCGCATAACACACCATAATGTCATAAACCGAAGTATGTCAGTTCTCATGTTTGGGTTTAGCTGACTTTGGCGTCCCCCAGACGCGTTGCTAGCGAGAGTTAAAAGTCCTATCGGATGGTTGGGGCAAGTGGAGGTGAAGAAAACGAAACACAATCAACCGAAAAAATTGCGAATTGCGAAGCCTTAGTGCATCATCATCATCATTACACACGTTAGCTGGAGGTGGAAAACACCTCAGCTATTGTGCCGCAATACAAAATAAAAGAAAAGGAAAACAGTAGCAACAGTGACACGCCCGCTGAGTCCCCAGTAACGGATGGACATCGTTCCGGAGAGCTAACAGCTGGCTGCCGTAAAAAGAGAATCATATTATACCTAACAGGTGAGATCGTGATTGGAGTGGGATACTAAACAGGAGGGGGATGGGCAAAGGAAATCACAACCCAAACGCCATTGGTGCCGGCTCCGAGCCATATCAGCAAGTGTGTGCAACCAAACGTGTTCACCGTCCTTAGGACCCCAGCCAGGCAGTCGGGATGCACCAACCGACGCCAACTTCGAAGTGAGGGTTTTCATTTCCCTCGACCAAGTCATCACTTGGCCTCCCCTTCTCCTCTTCCAACCGCACCCACAACGCGCAAACAATGCACGTCGCGCGAGTCGGTGTGCTGACATGCGCAACACGTGGCCCAGCCATCGGAGCCTGGTGCGTGATATAATGGTGCTGAGTGGTTCACTCGCTCTTCTTGCACCAAATACGCGACGTCGAACACACTCATTGCTCATGCGGTGTTCCCACCAGACATGAGCTAAGCTGCGAAGACAGCGATGATCGAATGTGACGAGTCTCTTCATGCCAGTCGACCTGATGGGCCAGGTTTCACAACCATTTAGAGAGTAGAACGGACGGCTGCGTTGTAAACTCTGCCTTTCAGGGCGAGAGTAACGTCGTGTCTGCGTCACAGGTGGCAGAGATTGGCAAAAGCACCTCGAGCTTTTGTTATGCGGTTCGTAACCTCATCTTCAATCCCACGGGTGCTAATACAGCTGCCCAGGTACTTAAATTCCTGAACGACTTCTAGCAGATCACCACCAAGCCTTAGCGCAGGGTTGGGTCCCTGCCAATCTTGGAGAAGTACTTTGCATTTCGATGGAGCAAAGCATAGCCCAAAACGATTGACAGCCAGTGGTAATCGATCCAGTGCTATTTGGCATGTTTGGGAGCTGTCACAGATTAGGGCAATATCGTCCGCATACTCCAAGTCAAGAAGTCGCTCACCAGGAAGTAGCTCCACACCTTCTACGTCATGTCCAGCGAACGCTGTTTCCATGACTTCATCAATAGCGAAGTTGAAGAGGAAAGGTGACAGCGGGCATCCTTGTCTCACACCACTGTTGATACTGAAGGGTGGCGAGAGTTTGCCATAAACCCTCACCCTGCCCGAACTATGCGCGTACAGCGCTTTGATAATGTTTACATATTTATCAGGCACACCTTTCCTCAGCAGACAGTCCCAAAGGACACATCGATCGACTAAGTCGAAGGCACCATTTATGTCAAGAAACACGACAACGGTGGGTCGCCAATAAACATGGCGGTGCTCCAACACTTGACGCAATGTGAAGATGTGGTCGATGCAGCCCCGACTTGCTCTTCACTAATCTGGCTTTCACGAGTGCCAGTCAGTCTGTGGAGAATGACAGAGGCAAGCAATTTAGAGGCAATCGAAATCAGACTGATCCCTCTATGATTGCCGCATTCCAAACGAGAGCCTCCCTTGATAATTGGGACAATGAAGGAGCGGTTCCAGTCTGTCGGGACTGTCTCCTGCTCCCAAAGTTTTGCTAGCAACTCGTGTAGATCATCTACTAGAGCAGGTCCCCCGAATTTGAAGAGGGCTGGGGGAATTCTATCTGCTCCTGAGGCCTTATGCAATTTCAGCAGCCGGCTCTCACGTTCGGCCTCTGCGCGTGAGGGCGGATCCGAGGAGACGGCCCAAGGAGAAGGGCGCTCAATGCCCGAAAAAAGCGATAAATCAGGTTTGTTAAATTGCCTTGCAAAGTGTTCAGCCCAACGCTCCAAGCGTTTTGACAAGCTGTGGATCGGCTGCCCACTCTCGTCGCGTATGGTCTCGCTAACACCAGGTCTCCTGCTGCCTGTTTCCCGTATCAGACGGAATAACTTACGATGATTACGCACGGCAGCGGCTGTTTCCAACTCAGAGGCACGATGAGACCACCAGGTTTCGCGGTCTTTCCTAAGGCTAGCACGTAGTTTTGCCCTGAAATTTTTGCGAGCCTCATTGTATTCGCTTCCAACCGGAATACGTCGGCGAGCATCCATAAGTTCCATAGACTGTGTAGAGACCCAATGTCCGGTTTGGCAATTTGCTTTGCCACATGATGACATACCTGCTAACAGTAACATTTGACGAATATGCGACCAGTGATCTTCAACGGTGTTTAGTGGGAGCTTACTCAGCCCAGATGTCAGCGCACCATGGTATACATTCAGAACATCTGGCTTCGCCAGCTGGCTGGTGTCAATCCGTTCACATCGACGTTGCGGACGTCCACCGAAACGCACCCGGAAGTTGGCACAGACAAGTGTGTGGTCAGAGTCCACGTTCGTGCTCCAAATCGAGAGACAATTTTGGACACAGCCTCTCCAGTGGTAACTGATCGCGATATGATCGATTTGTGTCCATGGTTGGCCCGAGGCTGATGGCCACCAAGTCACGCTTCTGCGGGTGCTGTGTCGAAAGTTAGTGCTCGAGAGAAAGAGGCGAGCATCTTCACACAGATGTAGCAACCGCTCACCACTATCATTACGCGAGCCAACACCATGTTGGCCGCCCAGATGAAACTCATCAGAGGAGAACTTTCCTACTTGGGCGTTTAGATCGCCTGCCAACAACACAGTATCCGTGCTTCTTCTGTAACGAAGGAGCTCGTGAAGTTGCTGATAGAAATCATCTTTTACAGAATCAGTGCTACAGTTTGTAGGGACGTAAGCCGCAATGACAAACAGGCACCGTTTGTCCCCGAGCGACTTCGTAGCTCGGAACGAACCAGCTAATCTAACGGCGC